TTTCCATAATTAATTCAACCCCTATCTATTTCGGCGTATTGTCAGTCCGTAGCGAATGAAAACGCCATTCGTTTTTCATGATTCAAAATTTCATGATTTTTGACAATTGTCAAAAACAATGCCAAAAGTTTTTTTTGTTGTTGTTGTTGACATGACGGTTAAAACAAGATAAAACCGTCAATTGTCAAAAACTTTCCAACCCTGCCTAGTTATGATATTTTTTTAAAGTGCTTAAAAATATTTTTTGAGTGCTTGAAAAGTGCTTAAAAGGTGCTTATTTTTTGTTCAATTATTTGAATACGCACCCTGTATATATCTTGTCCAAATTTTCATTCGTTCGTAAAGTATGTATCATTTTTTTAAACTTGTAGTGGATGACACTTGACCTTAATACAGTTTTTCCAAATATTAATTCATTAATTAAATTTAATTAATAACTTTAGTTTTATATGAGAGCAAAAATTGTAATTATTTAATAAAAGTACCAGAATAAAATTTTTCTTCTTTGACCTATGTAGGAATTGACTTAAATTTTTTTTTATTTTACTTGTTTCAGAGCAAACCAGTTTTAATTTTAATTTCTCTTAATTTATCAATCGTTTCTGTGTAAGGGTAAATTATTTTAATCAAAGCGAGCTGGATGTTAGTCAGAGCACGCTCACACATCAAAACGTTCATCAGTACAGATATGAGAGATGTCATAGCATAATGATTAATATCCGAGTTATCATTCAGCATGTAACCTCTAATCGGAATAACGTTACACTGCCACAAATATGTTTTTCTTAATGCTCTACCATCTGCTGCATTAAAAATAATTAATATTTTTTCCCTTTGTTTGAGATATGAACCAAAAAGATTTATGTTTTTCAACCAGAAGTACTTGTAGTTTTGAAGGAGCACTGCAAAAAAATGGATACTCAAATTCCACACAATTTTCTTCATTTCTGACGAAACAGTTTCATGTTAAACATGCTCCCCTCAAAAATTTAGTCAAAGTGACTAAACTATCATCTCTTCTTCGATGAAACGGATTCCGTGAAAATTAAAGAAATATTTCATCATTCGTAGTGCTTAATGTTTATACTTTCTCTATTTTTTTAATAATCACTTTAAAGCAGGCACCACATAGGTGTATCAATGTCGCCCCAACAATACAAGAACGATAGCTAGATCCAAGCAGTAAAACATCCATGCCGGGAGATTCGAAACCGGGGTATTCCTGTTAAAAGGGGGGCCAACTCCTTGACCACAATACAAGCCGGTCGGGTCGGCACTTTTCGTCACTATTTTTTCGATTGTCTTCATTCTGATATTTCGATAGTCTTCATTCCGTCACTATAGTTAACAATCTCCCACAATGCACTACGATAAGATTTCGAGTTGAAGAAGAATTTTATCCTATATTTGTAAGTTCGTATTTTGTCACAAATCACGTGATTCTGTGACGAAATGATTCTCAAAATTGACGAAATACAGCTTAAGGATTGCTGAATCGTCAAAAGTGAGAGTTTTATTTTTGAGTGAAGGAAGTCATTTTCAGTTACATCCATTTTTATCTATTAAAATCTGTTTGCTCTGGGGAGCGTTCGGCTCCAAATAAGGTGGCCCGGGTTCGAATCCCGGCGATGGGTGTTCCATACGAACTCCACAAACGGGCTCGCACCGACCACAGTGCTGACGTAAAATGTTCTAAGTGGTAGACGGATCATAGGTTAGTGTCTGCTTGCCGTTTGGCTCATCATGGAAGATTTTCGTGGTTTTCCTTTCCATGTAACGTAAATGCTGGTTAGTTTCATAAAAAAATCCTCCATAAGGGTCTATTTCTTTCAATACTAGATCCATGTGCTTCCTTATCTTCGGGATCGGTTTCAAAATTACAAGGCTACGGAGTCGAACATTGATAGTCGTAAACATAAACTTGGGTCGGCTGTTCAACGACGGTGATAAAATAAAATAAAATAACCCTTTTCGAGTAAACGAAGATGGACGTTATAACGTGAAATCGTTGTATCGTGAATGCACAAGATTAATTACTTATGACCAAAAATTACCAGATTTGACCACTAGGATAAAAAACCTGAGACACAAAGAGGGAACAGCCTGTTCACTTTTTCCTACCTTCAAAGTGTTTATTATTTAATGTGAGATAAAACCTATAAAAATTGTTCTAAAATGTAAAATCCAAAAAAAGTATTTCGAAAAAAAAAATGTTTGTTTCATGCATATTTAAAATTTTATCCATCATTGATTTTGTAAATAAAAGAAATTTTAATGATGAATAACTGTCTTCTGAGATCTAAGTCTTAGCAAATAAGTTCAAATTTGAAAAATAATTGTTTGGTAGCCGTGTGTGGAAGATTTCCATCATGCAAAATAAGACAGAGAGGTTTCATGCTGTATTTCATAACCATAAACTATTAAAATGCCACATATAATATTTTTCACTTATTTTGACCCACATTGATACAAAATAATGAAAAAAGTATGAAAACTATGTCTCGTTATAATGGTCGAATCTTTGTGATAGGATGTCAGATTAAACATTGCAGACAGCATATTAAAATCAATTAAACATTTATTAAAAATCTATATACATATTTCTCTTACACGGCGACAAAAAAAAGCCTCATTACAACTCCCTGAACGTCAACGCTAGAAAATCGACCAATGATTGCCGCTAAAAATCTCACATGCCAAATCTAGCTGAGGTGGCTCAACATACAGCGCTTTTAAAAACAGAAACTGAAATAACAATTCATCTGCGGCAATCTCATACTATTAGGCTAGGCAGAAGTGAGTATTCCTTGTCGATAGATCTCTATACTAGTATTTTGTCGAAAGCGCTTTTTTTTCACGAATTTATATATTACGAATTTATTTGACGATTTTTGATTTATATCACGAATTTATTTGTTTTATTATTGTTATTAGTTATTAATTGAAAAATGAGTCTCAGTCAATGAGTCTTTAGTTGAATTCAAATTTATTTTAATGACTTAGTGTTTACTAAAGAAATGTAATTTTTTTAAAAAAAGAAAGTTGTTATATGGATTTGAATGATAGTTTTGAATTCTTAGAAATTTGTGCATTTGCAATGTACCTAAGTTAGTAGCGAGCGAAGCGAGCTTGGTTTGTGAAGCAAACCTTATAAGATTGCGTAGCAATTTTCGGGGGTTGTCGAGCGTTAGCGAGCAGGGGGCGCAGCCCACTAGTAATATATTAATATGATAATTTAGCTTAAATGTCAAGAAAATCTAAAACTAATATTGATAAAGTAATGAGCGAAAAATATATATTTTAAGAGCATGTGTGCTATATTTCATATATATATTCATGACGTAAGCATAATTATATGATTGAAAATAAAACAGATGGAGCTTATTTTTCTTTTATAAAAGGCATTGGATTTGTTTTAGAACTAAAATAAAATGAATTATTTTATCCATCAAAATTCAGTATATATAATTTGCATATCCTCTCACTTAAACTGATGTTCTCCCTTGAAGAAGTAAAGTTTCCGAAGCAAAAAGTTTCTAACAAATACCGTTTATCTAATATTGATCCCTATTAGGATTAAATTAAGAAGTATGTGAGCTTGATACCCCCGCTTCAGAAACCAACTTATCAAAAGCGAAAGCAAGATTAAAATAAATAAAAAAAAAGAGACTTTTCTCCATCAAACTGTCAATCTTTTCCTAAATTTTCACAGTCAGGAATTTATTGCTATGAAGATGCATGCGTTTTTCCCTAAGTGCTTTATCTGGTAAACATAAGTGAGAAATTTTCCAATAGGATTAAACGTTTCATGCCTCCCCATCTCTTCACACCACTGCCAGGAGGAGGGATTGGTGCGGACGATTTTAAAAACCGATTTTCTTCCTGAGCGAGATGGCATCATCCATGCCATCAAGCAATGAAGAAAAGTAAGGGTGAGCGAATATGTTAATCATAAGCCATAAGTTCTAAAAAAGGATGGAATTAGTGGGTTGGGGGGTTTAGGGGGGAGGGGTAAGAGCCAAAAATCTTCATTTGCATTTTAATGCAAATTTCACTTTCAGGAAAGAAGAGGGGCTCACCCGAGATTTTTAGCGTTCCAGCAAAAATATTTGTGAGGGAGGGGGTAAAATATTAGATGTGACTTTTTTTTTTCTTTTACTTCTTTTTCGGTGTTTTGTTTTAGTAAATTTTGGTATTCATATTATTCCGCGAACATTCTTTTGCTTCTATTTGCGTTCCCCTCTTCTTTTCTCATATACCTAATTCTGCACTAGGCCCCCCACCCTCGGGGTAGGTGACGGGGCGAGGGTGGGAGCCCACCATCAAAGTGTATATATAACGCACGTCGCGTGCAAAATGTGCACCGCGGTGCACGCGCCTAAAAGCGAATGCAAATTAAGGATTGTGGGAAAAACATCTAGAGCCCCCTTCTGCATGGCAGGTAGAACATTCTCTTAAATGAATATTTCTCTACTTTTACGCAGGCCTATAGACGGAAAGTTTTTAAGACAGAGGTGGTGCAAGTGGAAAAATCCTAGATCTAAATGACGGGGGGTAGTAAAGGATAACTGTGTGATGGTCCCCCCAAACTTAGTTGCTTTTTGCCCCGCCCCCTTATAACAACAATTCCTGTCTGTCTTACGTAACGAGGGGGTTTATTTTTTTTTCCCTTGGCTCTCTCGTTTCATGTTATTTAAAGACAAGCAGAGCCTCTTTATTCTTCAGGTATAAACTTGAAACCAGTCAAATGAAGGGTGTCGGGGGGTGCGTTTGGGGGGGATTTGAAGTGAAAATTTTTCTATGAGTTTTCAAAAGGGATATGAGGGGGGGGGGTAACTAGAGATTGGCTAAAAGAAGGTGGAGCTAAGAGTACACAGAGCGATTATAAGTGGTTGCCAGCAAAAGAGAGGGGATAAGCTTATAGATAGAAGATAGTAAAAGGTATGGTAAAAAAAAAAAAAAGTTAGACTAAAGGTGTGAGTAGGAGTTGGCTTATTTTTACAGAATCTTCCACGCGGTAAACAAGATTAGGACCCAAACGGCTTTTGGTTAAGTAAGTTCTTAGGGAAGAGTTGGATGGGACTCAGTTGAGTTGTAAACAGCTGTTGGTTAAATACATACCGAATTCATCAGTCGAAGAAATTGGGTGTCGCTCGTCAACTGGACGAAGAGGGTTTTTATTTCTTAATTATAGCAGCGTTTGATTTTTTTGGGTAAGTTGCATTGCAAATATCATTTTCTAATCATTTAAAAATTATGCATTTGTGATAAAGGGGTTTAATATTGATAACCCGAACTGATTTATAATAATAATAATAATTAAATATATTTTTTAAAATTTTTCTCTTTTATGAAAATTAATTATTGTATTGCGCTGGTGAAAAATTTATAAATATTATGGAACTATATTCGATATTCTCAGTGCTTGTCAAATCATTCAGTCCTCCAATTTTTAAAAGTGGCCTGCATTCCATTATTCAACTGGATGAAGAGGAAAATAGTCTTTTTATTTCTAACTTTTTCTAGAAATTGATTCTTATAAGTTGAATTGTGACCATCTTTTTCACATAATTTTAAGATTATGGGATCATAAAAAATAGAACACAAAGTTCTAAATGACTTAATTAATTCAACTACTTATAATGTGTTTTCATTGCCGGAACAAAAATAGAGGATTTGAAAAGTGATTATAAGAAATACCCCAATCTTCAATAGGCAATCAAACTGGTTTTGACTTTTTCCATCTCGGCTTTCTAACGAGTGATGCAACGAATTTCGGAAGTGTTTTGTTCTTCCTTTGATTAAATATTAATTTGATATCCATTTTAGATTTGATTCTTGATAAGGATTCAAAAAATATTCATTAAATGGGGTCATTGTAGAACACCGCATATTCCGTAATGAGTAGGGAATATATTTTAATAGAAAGTTAGCAGTGTTAATCATGTGACAACGGTCATTTGTAAGATGAAAAATGAATATAAGAAACACCTCAATCTTCAGTAGGCAATCAAACTGGTTTTGTTTTTTTCCATCTCAACTTTCTAACGAGTGATGCAACGAATTTCGGTAGTATTTTATTCTTTCTTCGAATAAATATTAATTTGAGATCCATATGGAGTATACTTTTTTAGATTTGATTCCTGATAAGGATTCAAAAAATATTCGGTAAAGGTGGTCATTATAGAACACCGCATATTCCGTAAGCAATGTTAATCATGTGACAACGGTCATTTGTAAGATGAAAAATGAATATAAGAAGCACCTCAATCTTCAGTAGGCAATCAAACTATTTTTGTTTTTTTCCATCTCAACTTTCTAACGAGTGATGCAACGAATTTCGGTAGTGTTTTATTCTTTCTTCGAATAAATATTAATTTAAGATCCATATGGAGTATACTTTTTTAGATTTGATTCCTGATAAGGATTCAAAAAATATTCGTTAAAGGTGGTCATTACAGAACACCGCATATTCCGTATTGAGTATGAAATACATTTTAATAGAAAGTAGGCAGTGTTAATCATGTGACAACGGTCATTAGTAAGATCACCATGCAGCTAGATAATGCAACTTGCGTGTTTCTTGTAGCCTATTTGAATTATTTATAAGTTCTGTAAAATTATTTTATGCTAATCTAACTAGTTCCCAGAAAAATTTCAGAAAATAATATTTTGCGACAATTAAATATACCATTTCATTGAACTGACTCTATCTTTAAAAAGGAGATAAGAAACCGAAGAATTTCAATAAATGGCACCAATTCTAGATTTTTCTATGCATAATCGATAACAAAAGATATGCTACATAAAAAAAATCATATATACCAAAAGGAACATGTCTCGAGAAATATACTATCCTTTCTGAAACAGAAAATCGCTTTATCAGCTCTGTATAAAAATCGAACATTAATTTTTTGTTCTCGAAGCTAATCTTTGTAATAAGTTAATTAATTAACCACATTTATCATCAACAGCTTTACCCGAAACTGCTGAAGGGAAACAGCCACTTTATCACGTGATCTACAAAAACAGTCCCGTAAATAATTACTTCTGATATTACCCAGATCATCTACTTAGACTTATTATTTCCCACTGAATTGAAACTTGTAACATAACTGTTAATTTTATTATTATTATTATTATTGAGCTTACAACTACCAACGTAGCCTTGTAATTTTGAATCCAATCCGGAAGACGAGGCAACTCCTGGATCAAGTATTGGGAGAAATTTGCCTTCGTGGAGGACTTTTTGAGGGAAATAACAAGTATTTGCGCTTCATGGTGAGGAAAACCACGAAAGTCACCCACAGTTGGCCTGATGGCAAGGGGAATCTAACCCCATGATCCGTCTACCACTGAGGATATTTTACGTCTTCCTATTTTTTGAAGAAAATCGGAGTGATTTGAAAGAAGAGATTAAATTTCTTTTAGACAGGCAAATTAAGTATTTTTTCCAAATTGAATTTCACGCTCCGATTCTGAGATTCAGACAGATTCCGAGACAAACGGACATATAGTCTAAAAAACAAATTCAGCAAAAAAGAGGAAATTAAATTCTCGTCACAAATCACCCCTAAGGGGTCTGTCCAGACATTTCGTAAAAGGTCCGTTGTTGTAAAATTGCAAAAAAATTACTCGTAATTTGTGAATATAAAATAAACGTTAAGTCACAATCTTTCAACCAGGGTCCGGCTTTTGTGAATTTGTGCAAATAGGGTCCTGTTATTGCAAAAAACTTTTTCAAGGAGTTTCAATTGTGAAGACATACAAGATTATGCTGAACACTGCAAAATTATCATTAAAAAAATTAAATTTTCAAAAATAAACAGCATTTGCTGATACTAAATTAGAGATGCAACATACCAATATTTGGTATTTAGCCAATACTGCTGGACGCAGAATATTCATATCGGACGAATAAAGGACGACGCGTCTGCCAAAGACAAAACTTAAATTCGTTTACATCTGTCTTTCTCTTCCCCCCCTTTCTGGGAAGGGTTTATTTGATTAACAAAACAATAATGAAGATAAACAAATTTGTGAAGGGTCGGATAAAAAGATAAATTATTTCGTGAAGGGTCCGTTTTTAAATTAAAATATTTTGTGAAGGGTCCGTTAACGGACCCAAATTTCTTCTAAACAGACCCCTGCTCATGGAATCATACAGTTGAGAATATAGGGGAGTTTTCAAGTATTATTCAGACGAAAATAGAATAGCAAGTTTTCTGTGAAACAAAATCTTGGGTATTAATTTTTCTAAAATGTCTTATCTTACTGGACTATCTCGCGAGCTTATTAAAAAATTTCTAAGCTGGCTGGGCTCATTTTGGATAAGAAAAATCTATTGCAAGTAAAAATATTGTTTCTTATTTAAAAACCAGCTTTGATAGATTTATTTTTAAATGATTTAAACTTTTGCTTTTATTGAGTAGAAAGAAGCATTAAAAATCAGAGTAAAGATTTTTTTCCATATATTTATTCTTTCATACAAAGCACTGAATGCTACCGTTAATTTTCGAGTTTATTTGACAAAACAAAACGCTTTCCTGCAATGCCATTTGGTTTTCATCCTGTTTCGAGTGCTGGGGAAAAACTTTCATACCGATTCATGTAAGTAAAGAATCTTAAAATTTAGAATCGTAATTTCGAGAAATCCATCGTAATTTCGATAGGAGAAAACTCTCCTGCAATTTAAAATATAATTGTCCTTTGGATTAAACAGTTGGTTTTAAAGGAATTATTTTGTGTTAAAAATCAAAATAAATATTTATTTCCATAAGGTTTCTTTTCTTTTGATGCACCAAACGCTGACTTTCAATTTCGAGTTAATGCGCCAAAGCAATCGTTTTCCTCCAATAACAGTAAGCTTCTTTGCCTTTCAGTTTCGTGTCCGGTGGAAAAACGTTTTTACAAATTTGTGGTGGGCTAAATAAAGAGTCTCAATAAATTTTAGTAAAATAAGAATGCATTATAATCAGGGGTCTGTTTAGAAGAAATTTGGGTCCGTTAACGGACCCTTCACAAAATATCTTTTCATAAAAACGGACCCTTCACAAAATGATTTTTCTTTTAATCAGACCCTTCACAAATTTATTTATCTTCATTATTATTTTGTGAATCGAATAAACCCTTTCCATGGCAGAAAACAAGAAAGATGAACGTAAACGAATTAAGTTTTGTCTTCGGCAGACGATTCTTCCATTATTCGTCCGAAATGAATATTCTGCGTTCATCAGTATAGGCTAAATACCAAATATTTGTATGTTGCATCCCTAATTTAGAAGCAGCAAGTGTTTATTTTTTAATTTTTTTTTAATTATAATTTTACAGTGTTGAGCATAATCTTGTATGTCTTTACAATTTAAAAACTCCTTGAAAATGTGTTTTGCAATAACCGGACCCTATTTGCACAAATTCATAAAAGCGGACCCTGGTTGAAAGAATGCGAGTAATTTTTTCACAATTTCATGAAAAACGGACCTTTCACAAAATGTCTGGACAGACCCCTGATTATAATTTTGAGAAGAGAAAATTCTTTTTCAATAAAATTATCGCTTGAATTTAACAGTTAGTTTCAAATGAAACATTTTTAAGGATTCTTATGCCTCTATTTACATAAAAATGTATTGCAAATCAGAATAAATATTTATTTCCCGAATGTTTTCTTTCTTATAATGCATTAAACGCTGCCGTTTAATTAAGAGTTATTGCGCCAAAATAGTCATTTTAATGCAATAGCGATTGACTTTCTCGGATATTCCCGTTTCGTGACCGGAGGAAAAACTTTCTTACAAATTTACGCCTTTCTTACAAGAAAATCGCCTGCAAGATAAAATATTTATTATTCTATTAACAGTTTCTTTAAGTGCGAACAGAAAGATGCATATTTGTTACGATTTTCAGTTATTATTTTTATAAATTCTTCTTACTTGCTAAATGATTATTCAATAAGTTTTTTTCATTTCACACAATTTAAAAAAGCTAGTAAAAGGAAGGCTGAGCAATTTCGTGTCAAGAGTCAGCGATATTGATATACGTTCGGGCAGGGAGCTCGGCATCCATTTGGCGTGGACTTAGATGCAAACAGGCGTTCTCAGTAGGGATAATGGTTTTTTCTTAACTTGCAACAGAGTATAGGTAGTAATGTCTAATGTGAACATAAATAAAAGCAAAAAATTGTAATTTTTATGTGAAAAAAAAATTTAACTTCTAA